GGCACTTAACAACAACAACAAAAAGAGAGTGGCCCCTAATTTCTAAACTATAATAATAAATCAAATGCCCTATACTTAGGAAAAAACATTTATGATTCTTTGCAATAATTAAGGGACAAATGAAAATACTGTGTTTATAAACACATTCCATTTCCTTTCTAAATTATTTTAACTCAGTGTACTCAGTTCCATGACAGTAATAAATTCCTATAATTTTATGTAAAGACATTTTTGGGGGTATACTTGTTAGTATACTGTGGAGTCAATTAATTTGATGTATGTGTTTTTGTTTTGTTTTGTTTTTAAGTATACAAGAGTTTCTGTAAGTCAATTAAAAGATCAGATTTCAATACAAGAACCACAAAAAATTGTTCAGGAATTTAAAAGTTTGTGACCATGTACCACATAAACAAAAACATCCTATAATTATATCACATCCATCAAGTACTAGTCTAAACAAAGTTTGCCAGATGTCCTTCTATCTAAAGATTTCCCACTTATACTCTTCCTTGCTAGAAACCAACGTCCTACTCCCAATAAATACCTTGTGGCTATCTTTAAAACAGCTCATTTGTACCTAAGTGTATATGCACTTGACATTATAATAAAATGAATAGCATGCTAGGTTAGAAGCCAGAAGACTTGAATTTAGTATTAATTGTGCCTTTTACTATTCATATTATTGTCAATTATGTATCTTCCAATTCTGTGTTCTCAACTAAAAACAAGACAATGATGACTGTCATTCATAGAGAATTGCTGTAGGACTTAAAACAAAATTAAATATGTTGAACCACCCTAAAAAGGTGTAAATGACTTATAAATGTATGCATCATTATGTGTTTATATGTGAACAGCAAAATCTTTCAGGGTTATGACTACATCCTACTCTAATTTATTTTTTTTAGCTTCCATCCATCCATCTCTAATTGGCATGTAGACAATAGTAGGCTACTCAGTAAAAGTAGTTACTAGTATGATTTAAGTTAATACATTAAACTGATGATATAATTTATGTAATTCTTTAAGTATTTCTTCTTTCATTAAAGTCCAGTAGTTCTCCAATATCTTCTCTGTCTAATGTCAATAAAATATAGATCTTAAAAGACAGCAACTGCTTTAAATATATCACCATGATTTTGTTTTATGAGCAAATAATTACCTTTTCTCCCAAAACAGCTTGACCTGAGGACAAACCTGGATCTCCTTTTGGGCCCTAGATAAAAGTTATAGAACACTTGGTAAAACATAGATTCCATGTAATGTATCACATATCTTCAACTATAAGGATCATCAGATGCCATATACATTATATGTCATTAAATAAAATTATTCTAAAATAAGATGTTGCTTTTGCTAAGTGCTGTTGAGTCAGTTCCACCCCATAGTGACCCTGTATAGGGTTTCCAAGAAGCAGCTGGTGAACTTGAAAGTCTAATCACCAACCTTGAAGTTCAAATGTACTTTGCAGTCCAGAGCATTAACATGGGTAATTTACTTTTCATGGATCTTATATTGTAGTCTTATTTTTTAATGCTGAGAAGATTTCTAAAAATCCCCTAAACATAGTCAATTTTTAAAAACTTGATAAATATTTTATTTTGAAACTTATTTATTTGGGATACCTGGGAAAAGACTCTGTTATCGTTTTTAATTCTTGTAACTTGTTGAACTTCATTTCTACATTAGCATACGAAGACTAGCTACTATTTTAGTAAAAGAAATCTGCTTGAAACAATTCTTAAAATATTAAAATGCAATTTAAGTTTAAATATTTTCCAAAATTTTTCAATTAACATACAGTACTCTGGTAGCATAGTGGTTACGAATCGGGCTGTGAACCGCAAGGTCAGCAGTTCAAAACTACCAGTTGTTCCGCAGGAGAAAGATAAGGGTTTCTGCTCCCGTAAAGATTTACAACCTCGGAAACCCTGTACAAGGCTGCTATGAGTCGGAACCAACTCCATGGCACTTAACAACAACAACAACAACAACTTTATAATGAGGAGTCCAGGTGTGGTGCTGTGGGTTAATGCACCTGACTGCAAAGCCATTTGAACTGCAAGGTTGGCGGTTCAAGCTCACCAGCTGCTCTTCAGAAACCCTACACAGGGTCACTATGGGTCGGGATCAACTTGATGGCACTTAACAACAACAACATTTTATAATGAAGAAAAATAATTGCCAACATTATTTTTAATCTGTTATAAAAATAGCTATTTTTCATAATCTGGGCATCTTACCATTTATGTTTCAAGATAAATTAGATTTAAATTAAGTATTTTAGTATGATATTATAATAATCTTTCATATGCAGGTATGGTACTGTAAGCTAACCAAAAGTTTGGCAGTTCAAACCTACCAGTTGCTCCTTGGAAACACTACACAAGGTTGTTACGAGTTAGAATTGACTCAATGGCACTTAACACCATGAATACTAGTAAAGTATCACTTTTCAAATTTTTGTCACAACTCACAAAATATAGCGTTCACAATTAAGAGTCTATAAATTAAATTCTATTTCCATTATAATTCATTCTCAAATAAGAATAAATATCTATTCCTAGAATAAATATCTATCCCTAGATAGTTTAAAATGCTATTTCCACTCCACAGGAAATAGGGAAACCTTCTTTCTTGTCTTGTCAGGTCTTCTTTCATACATTCATGCTTTAAGTTAGCACTCAGAATGACCAGTGAAAGAATGACAAAGAGAAAAGTCCTAAAAGGTTCCCAAGGAGATTGTTCTTTTTACAAATTAGAAGTGAGTTGTCACTGGCAAAAGATCCTGCTTTCTATGGTGTTGTGAGTTGTCACCAAGCCAATTTGAAAGACGCTGCTTTCTAGATGACTGTCCTCTTCCTTTCCACAGCCTTTACCTCTTCTTATAAAGCAACAATTTTAGATCATTGGATAGAAGATTATGGAACCTCAGAAATAACTCTGGTGATGTTTCAATATATAAGAACACATCATGTATAAACGAAAGTTATACACAATATACTTAGAATCTATAAGACATGTGAGAGAGGCAGGCCATATTTCTCTGCATTGAGGAATGCTTCAAAACCTTTTACTCACTGTGTCCCTCATTTTTTTTTTATCAACTCTGTGACTCCCAAACGGACTCCTGGTGTGGTGCTGTAGGATCAGCACTGGACTGCTAACCACATCATAGGTGTTTCAAACCTACTAGCTTCTCCTTGGAAGCTCTGTACAGGATTGTTATAGGTTGAAATCAATGGTACTTAACAACAACACACTTAGTCTTATTTGATCACCTTTTGAAATCAAAGGGTTAGAATGGAATGCAGATTCATAACTGACTTTGTCCCTTAATTCTTACTTGTATATCTTTATGTGTGCCTCTTGTTAAAGAGGTACCCTTTATGAGTATGAATAAGAGGAAAGGAAATCTGCCTACAATATGTTATTTAAAGGATTCCAAAAGTCCTACCTTTTCTACTTAACTGTTACAGAGTCTGAAATTCTCATATATAATTATTTTAAATCATTATTGGAACTCAAGAGGTCCCACTGCTGGGAAGCGAAACTCTCTAAGGGACTAAAGAAGTTAGCAGAATAGATTTGTCATATTAAAGTTAGCCCAATATAGTGGAAAGAGCATTGGGATGAGAAGCCAGAAAGCAAGCAGAGCAAGCATTTAATCTATCTAAACTTGAGATCCCTCTTCTATAAAATATATACAACAATAATAAAAGGTTAGAACACTTAGGATCAAATTCTCTATAGACTATAAAGATGTTAATATTGTTGTTGTCAAGTGCTGTCAAGTCAGTTACAACTCACAATGACCCCATGTACATCAGGAGGAAGCACTGCCTGATCCTCACAATCACTGCTATGCTTGAGTCCACTGTTGTAGCCACTCTGTTAATCCATCTTGTTGGAGGTCTTCCTCTTTTTCACTGACGCTCTACCAACCATGATGGCTTTCACCAGGGTTTGGTAAACATGATAACATGTCAAAAGTACTTGAGAGAAACTCTTGCCAATCTCAATTCTAAGGAACATTCTGACCATACTTCTTCCATTCTTTGGCAGTCCATGGTAATGATGTTAGTAGTTAGTATTAAAAATAAAAAGACTCAAAGACAATCATTATTAAAATCAACTGTACAGTAGTTGACATCTGGAAAGCATAGAGCGCAACTTGAGTTAATAACAGTGTGGCAAGATTTTAACAAAAAAGATTTGGAATTTAAAAAGTTAGGGAAGTGTCATAAAGGAAACACTAAATTACATGATCATGAGCTAGCGCCAGCTGGGTAGTTGTGAAGAGGCAGTTCTTCAGACTATCCTGGCATTGGTGTCTTCCCCATCCCAGCCCCTGCTAGTATCTTTGGGCTACCGGAACAAACCACTGCACCTCCTCAACCAAAGCATAACAGTTAGCCCAAATGCCCCACAGTAAAAGGGTTCAATCCAGGAGTAGGTACCAAGATGTCTGCGTACCTCCTCCTAGGGTGATCAGGTAGGAAAACTCTCTATGAAATGGGCCACTTAGTTTAGGAGTATAAAATGACTGAGCGGGGGATATTTTCTCATCTCTCAGGTCCTACTGGGGCACACATAGCAAAAGCATAAATTTACAGTCCACCCAAGGGGAAAGATCTGGTCAGGGGAACACCAGAGGTAGAAAGTAGACAGTCATTGTGTTCCTCATCCATAATGCCAAGTGACAGACATGTAGTATAGTTCTCTATATCCATTGGAGAAGCTTCTAGAAGCCAGGGGGACTTCCAAATATCTTCTTGTTAAGTGCCATCGAGTTGGTTCTGACTCAAAGTGATCCTGTATAGGGTTTCTGAGAGAGGCTAGTAGGTTTGAACCTTCAAAGCTTGTGGTTAGCAGACCAGTGTTTATTCTATAGTGCTATACCAGGGCTTTAAAGACTATTAGCTGCTTTTAAATTTCCTTAAATATCTTGAAAGAAGAAAAACAGAGAAGTAGCTAACCTCACAAATAGTCCCCAAGCTCTTCTTCCTAAGATTCATGTCTTTGTGAATTCTCCTTCTACAATGAATAAGACTGATTTGTGTAATGAACAGTATGTGGCAGAAATTTGGTACATAATTCCCTGTTGATGCTGCTGTTGTTAAAGTGCTGTGGAGTTGGTTCCAAGCCAAAACATAACTGTATAGGGTTTCCAAGGAGCAGCTGGTGGGTTTGATCTGCTGACCTTATGGTTAGCAGTCCAGAGCTTATTGTATCGAGCCACACCAGGAGTCTATGACTTCTTATACTAGGTCATTAAAAGCCTGTGGCTTTCTCTTTGCTTTTCTCCTAGATCACATGTGCTGAGGGAAGCCAGCTGGCATGTCATAAGGATACTAAGCAGCCCTAGGAAAAGGCCCAGAGGAAGTCAGGAACAGCCGTGAATGGAGCTCTCCTGCCAACGGTAATATGAGTGAACCATCTTAGAAATGGATCTTTCAGTCCCCTACTCAAGATGACTACGACTCCAGCTGACATGAAATCTCGTGAGAAATCTGAAGCTCCTAAAATCCTGACTCATAGAAACCATGAGACAATAAATAAATGCTGTAATTTTCAGTTACTATGTGTGGGGGAGATTTGTTATAGAGCAATAGATAACTAATACAGCCTGCTAGAAAATATTGGTATTTCTCCCTGTTCGTACATTTATGGAATAAACTCTGGGAGATGGAAGAAGCGCTGAATGAATACTTTACTGAAATATCACCTGAGCTTCTCATTAAATTAATAGGTTAAAGGTGCTATATTAACTCAGTCTAAATGTATTCTTGTACAAGACTTAACCCAGAACATTATGTGGAGAAATTACTGATCCTGAAAGATGATACTTAGATTCTGTAGTTCAAGATTATTTTGCCCAATAATTCCTTTGTCCATATTGCCAGAGACTTAGTAACTTTCCACTAAAGTCCCCATTCACAGGAGCCAAAACATTTTTTTTTAATGTGACAATAAATCTGGTATTTCAATTGCATTTTTAATTGCCCTAGTTACCTCATAAACAGCTCCTCCAAGAAAAGATAAATAACATTTTCTTAAGTATTCTGCTAAGTGTTTTAATGTACCTCATTTAACTTACATAAAGTATCTTTGGTTCTAATCATTTTTACAGAGTCCATTTATCAAAATATTGATGGTAACATATAAAATATATTTGTATAAAGATTCCATAATGTACTACATTCTTTATTTCAGTTCAAATTTCCTCACTGCAATAAACTTGGGAATAACTTAACTTGCTCTTTCCATGTTGCTGTTGTTAGGTGCCATCGAGTCAGTACCGACTTATAGCGACCCTACGCACAACAGAACAAAACACTGCCCAGTCCTGGGCCAACCTCACTATTGTTGCCACTCTTGAGTCCAATGATGATGCCACTTTGCCATTTCATCTTGCTGGTTTCCTCTTTTTCTCTGACCCTCCACCTTACCAAACATGATATCCTTCTCCAGCAACTGGTCTCTCCTGACAACATGACCGAAGTATGAGAGACAAAATTTGGCCACCCTGACCTCCAAGGAGCACTCTGGCTACACTTCTTCCAACACAGATCTGTTGGTTCTTTTGGCAGTCCATGGCACTTTCAATAGTCTCCTCCAACACCACAACTCAAAAGCATCAATTCTTCTACTGTCTTCCTTATTCAGCTTTCGCATACATATGAGGCTATTGAAAATACTATGGCTTGGGTCAGGTGTACCTTAGTCCTCAAGCTGACATCTTTGCTCTTCAACACTTTAAAAAGTTCTTGTGCAGCAGATTTGCTTAATGCAGTACGTCGTTTGATTTCTTGACTGCTGCTTCCGTGAGTGTTGATGGTTGATACAAGAAAAATTAAGTCTTTGACAACTTCAATCTTTTCTCTGTTGATAAGAATATTGTTTATTGGTCCAGTGGTGAGAATTTTTGCTTTTCTTTACATTGAGATGTAATCCATACCGAAGGCTAGGGTCTGTGATCTTTATCAGTAAATATTTCAGTCCTCTTCCCTACTGAAATAGACAAATAATTTCTTGTGCAGTACAATTTCCTCACTGTTATTAATGCTGTCAAGTTTGTTCCAACTCATAGCAACCCTGTATAGGGGTTCCGAGGTTGTAATTCTTTATGGAAGCAGAAAGTCTCATCTTTCTCTTAAGATTCGGCTGGTGGATTCAAACTACTGACCTTGTGTTTAGCAGCCCAGCTCATAATCCACTAATATATCAGGTCTCCTTGTTGTTGTTGTTAAGTGCTGTCTAGCCAATTCTGATGCATAGTGACCCTGCATAGCAACTGGTGAGTTTGAACTACCAACCTTACAGTTCAAACAAGCCACAGTGGCCAATAATTCTACTTGTGCCGTTCTTGTGAAATAATACCCATGAAGCAAAATAATTGAAATTGTCTTTATATCATAAAGACCTTAATTTAAAGGAAATCTTTTTCCCCCTGAAGGAAAATAAATCCTGTAATTATATGTCAACATTTACTATCAAAAGCAAGAAATCTGCATTTTCATTCCACCGTCTTGAATGAATATTATAAGAGTGTTATAAAGTATAAAGCCTGAATGTTCTGTTAATAATGAATACTCTGGAAATGAGTGTTAAATACTTAGGAAATTGTTTTTACAAAACAATACTTTATTTGATGTAGTTGGGACACAGGGGTCATTTTAAACACCTGTCACAATCAAATACTGCCCATAAATGGTGGGGGTAGTGCCGTAGTCAGTTCCGACTCATCGCGACCCTGTATAGGGTTTCTGAGGCTGTAAATCTTTATGGGAGCAGAAAGCCTCATCTTTCTCCTGTGGAACTGCTGGTAGTTTTGAATTGCTGACCTTGAGGTTAGCAGCCTGACTCATAACCACTACGCTACCAGAGCTCCTTACTGCTTCAAATATGCTCAATAAAAACAAATCATGGTCAGTGTTGGTTATCTAGACATAGTTACCAAATTGTTAAATTGAACCTGAATTAAAGATTAATGTTTAAGCTTATAATATTAAGTCCCTAAAGGAGCTCTGGTAGCATAGTGGTTATAAATCGGGCTGCTAACCTCAGGGTCAGCAATTCAAAACTACCAGCTGTTCCTCGGGAGAAAGATGAGGCTTTCTGCTCCCGTAAAGATTTACAGCCTCAGAAACACTTTGCAGGGTTATTATGAGGTGGAACTGACTCCATGGCACATGACCACCACCACCAAACGGTCTAACTGTTGTATTTGTTAAGTTCTGTCCAGTCAGTTCCAACCCATAATGAGCTTGTATAGAATCTATGAGGAGAGTCTGGTAAATCTGAATTGCTGAACATGCGGTTGCCAATCCAGTGCTTAGCCTATAGAACTCGCCAAGACTTCCAAAATGGTCTAATTAGCGATTTGTAAAATTAATGTCCTTTTTTTTCAATCCCTCACATATGGTTTTATAAAACAAAACATTCTGTTGATGACTAAGTATAAATATTCAAAATTTCATCCATATTTCAAGTATGCATTGAGGTAAACAATTTTCCTTTCCTTTTTTCTGTATACTTGGTGTTGTGGAGCGGTGTCTATTAGCAAGAATGTAAGCTTGATATAACTTCAGCCCTTCGGAGAAATATGAGCTGAGACTTTACAGCTACTTTGCCCTTTTACCAAACTAAATATACTTATTGAATGGAACCCTGGTGTGATGCCACATGATAAGCATTCGACCTCAAGGTCAGTTTGAATCGCAAGGTTGGCGGTTCAAACTCACCAGCTGTCCCTTGGAAACCCTATACAGGGTCACTATGAGTCGGAAGTGACTTGGCAGCAATTAACAACAAGTATACTTAATTCTCCAAATAAAGCTTAAAAGTATAAAAAGCAAAACCCGTTGCTGTCAAGTCAATTCATGTCATAGCATCCTATGGGTTACAGAGTAAAATTGCTCCATAGGGTTTTCTTGGCTGTAATCATTACAGAATTCGATTGTCAGACCTTGCTTCTGCAGCACTGCCACACGCTTTTTAACTGTCAACTTTTAGGTTATTGTTGTTGTTGTTGTTATATGCTGTGGAGTCGGTTCCGACTCATAGCGACCCTGTACAGGGTTTCTGAGGCTATAAATCTTTACAAGAGCAGAAAGCCTCATCTTTCTCCCACGGGACAGCTGGTAGTTTCGAAGTGCTGACCTTGAGGTTCACAGCCCAATTCGTAACCATTATGCTAGGTTATTAGTCAAACATAAATCACTTGTGCCACCCAGTGACCTATTAGAGACTATAGACACCCTTTGTATCCAAAGATTGGCCTTAAAAGTTAACCTTTTTAAAAATCGTCTTATTATTTTGTTTCTGTTGAGAATATACACTGCCAAATATAGTTAACTAAAGTTTCTCAATGTACAGTTCAGTAGCACTGATGACGTTCTTGGAGTTGCACACCGTTTTCACTCATCTTTTCTGAGTTGTTCATTTCCCATTAATATAAACTCACTGCCCCCTAAAATTCCTATCTAATCTTTCAAGATTCTGTTGTCCAGAACTTTCATTTGCATGTAAGGAAAAATCATGTGATACTCATTAATAATCACTTACTTTTGGACCTGGTAATCCAGGTAATCCGGGATTTCCATGTGGCCCTGGTATGCCCTGAAAATAGTAAAGAAATCCAATCAATTGTAGAACAGAGTTATATACAAACAACACATATACTATTAAAATAAATATTGTTGTTGCTTTTCCGACTCATAGTGACCCTCTGTAGAGTTTCTAAGACTAGCAGACAGCTGGTGGAATCGAACTGCTAACATTGTGGTTAGCAACCCAGATGGTAACAAACTACGCCACAAGAGCTCCAGTATTAAAATAAATATGACATAATATAACATCGTTCAAATGAATGCTACCTTATGTCTTTATCTTTTCTGAGATCTTAGATGTTTCAGTATTGGAAAAATAGCTAGATTAATTATAGAGCCAAGCTGTGGGTTTCATCCTTTGCTTTAAAACACTGCCCTCAAGGTGTTTATTTCTCCTATTCACCACCCCTATCTCCACCATCTGTGGCGACGTGGGCTAATGCGCCAGACTGCAAAGCCATTTGAACTGCAAAGTCAGTAGTTCAAGCTCACCATATGCTCCTCAGAAACCATATGTAGGGTAGCTGTGAAACCAATTCTACAGCACTTAACAACAACAACATCTCCACCAGCAGCTCATTGTTCAGTGCTATTTCTAAAAGCTATATAGAGTAAAAGCCTAAAAAGAACAAAGTGAAATTGGTTACTCTCCTCTAACTATGTGTTATGCCTTTCTGTACTTGGACTTTTGCTTATACCGTTCTGTATGCCTAAAACCTTACTTCATTTACCTTCATAGGCAAAACTAAACCAGTCATGGTGGAATCTATTCTGACTCATGTTGATTCCATGTGTGTCCACAGGATTTTCAATAGCTGATTTTTCGGAACTGGGTTGCTAGCCAGTCTTCCAGGGTACCTCTGGGTGGACTTGAACCACTGATCTCTAGGTTAGCAGCCAAGTTCTTAACTATTTATGCTATAACTACCCAAATTATTCCTTAAGACTCAATTCAGTTTCTATTTTATTTTGAAAGCCTCAACACTTCAAAATGAAGTAATTTCTCTCTTCTCCTAACTTCTTCAGGAATTAAAAACCCATTGCAATATAGTAGTTTCTGACACAGAGTCACCCAATAGAACTGAACTGCTTTGGGTGTGGTGGTGTGCCATGGAGTCGGTTCTGACTCATAGCAACTCTGTATAGGGTTTCTGAGACAAAATCTTCATGAGAGCAGAAAGCCTCATCTTTCTCTCATGGAGCGGCTGGTTGATGTGGACTGCTATTCACAAGGTCAGTGGTTCAAGCCCACTAGCTGCTCTGCAGGAGGAAGATAAGGTTTTCTGCTCCCATAAAGATTTACAGTCTCAATAACCCTCTGCAGCATCGCTATGAGTTGGAGCCATCTAAAGGACACCTAACAACAACAAAAAATAGTAGTATAAAAGTGTGCTGGGAAAAAAACCCCACAAAAACTTTAGGAAAAAATGTATCAGTGAAAATTTAGCATGGGTTAAGTGGGGATAACTTGTTTGCATCCAATAAACATAGGGAGAAAAAACAAAGTAAAGCTGCAAGTTTGAAGAAAATGAAATTAGGTACACAAATGAAATATCTATCCTTGAGAAGAGAGATACTGTTCTTCCCTTAAGGGAAGAAAGATTGGATAAGTAAATGCACAAATGATATGGGAACCAGGGAAGGAGTCTGCAAAACTGTAAGAGAATATGGAAAACCAGAGCTTGAAGTGAAGGTCATGTTATGGAAAAGGAGCAGCTTTAGCAGTGTAGAGAAAATGGAATTTGTGCAAAGAGGGAATCAGTCCCTCCAAAAAGCAGGATCCAGAGTCTTCTTGGAGGGAAGGAGGAGAACAAGAATAGTTGAGGTTTCTAGAGAAGAGTGGGCAAGGTTTAGAAGACACCATATGAGAAATGGATGGATCATCAACTACAGAGAAATAAAATAAATGTTAAACAATAGCACTGGACCAATGAGGATGGTGCAGGGCGGAGCAATGTTTCATTCTGTTGTGCATAGGTTCACAATGAGTCGGAGCTGACTTGATGGCACCCAAAAACAAGGAACCAATGAAAATTTATCTTAAGCCTAATATGGGCAAGAGTTTGATGTGAATTTGAACAATTTAAAGTAATATTTTAGATTGATTTTTCTTTATTTAAAATATATGTAGGGACTTCAACGAGTTCGTGGAAATTTTCCATTATCTTTGAATTCTAAGTTTTTCATGCAACTTTTTGAAGCTTCTTTATATTCTTTTGTGATAAGAATCTGGATAAAAAGAAAATGGACTAGTGAATTATATAAATGGCTCATTGAAGAAAGATTTATTGGTTTTTTTGCTTGTTTGTTTTAAGTTTGAAAGAACCTAATCCTGGTGTGGCGCTGCAGCATAATGCGCTGGACCATGAGGTCGGTTTGAAACAAAAGGTCGGCAGTTCAAACTCACCTCAGAAACACTAAACAGGGTTGCTATGAGTCAGAACTGACTCAATGACACTTAACAACACCAAACAACAATTCTAACACAGTAAGAAATTATTTGTTAGACCTCTGTAATGTGAGAAATTACTGCTGATCCTTAAAGGCAGCTGTTTTCCTCAGGGCAGGATTTTTCTGGTCATCAGCTTCAGTATTTTCCACTGTGTAATCCAGGAATGTATTCTTTTATCATAGACCACTTCTCTTTATTCCCCTCAATAAATGAACCTCACCTTGGACTACCAACTACAGATGATTATAGTTGTTAAGTACCATCGAGTTGATTCTGACACATAGTAACCCTATGTGTATAGGGTTTCCAAGGAGCAGCTGGTAAGCTTGAACCACCGACCTCACAGTTCAAACGACTTTGCAGTCTGACTCATTAGCCCACAGTGCTACACCAGTACTCCAACTACAGATGATATCACTTTATAAATAAGAATAATGTTACAAATTGCACAAGAACAGTCACTAATCTACAAATTTGATAATCTTTCTTGGGCTTGTTCACAGATAACTCTTTGGTTGGATGTTTACACTCAAATAAACAAGCCTGCATGTGTTCCTAGGCTTCTCTTGAATTGATGCATGCCGACAATATTTGAAGATCCAGGCAGACTTTCAAAAGAAGCACACACTAACCATTACTAGGAAAAACACATTGTACAGTCAGTTATTCTCATAGGAAATGGAAAATAGAGCCCATCTACTCACCCTTGGGCCTCTCTTTCCTGCTGGACCTGGGATACCTGCTGGACCAGGCGGACCCTTGGAAAACAAATGCCAGGCATTAGACATGACAGTAAACACATCTTTCTCACAAGTTTCAATATGAGTTCCACTTCAGGATTACTCTTCTCAGTTTCCAGGTCCTGGCTGATCATGCTTTTAAAACAACATGAATCCCTTTACCCTAGTCACCAGGGGTGAGAACTGAAGCTGAAATGTCCTCTTTAATCTGGCCAGAAATAGAAGCAGGAAGTCTTTGACTTATGGTTTCAGCCACTGTACTTGCATCTGGTTTTTAAAAGGACCATAGCTAGCAGTTTTGTGGGTAAGTTTTACCTAAATTTACTTTAACTGCAGCAGGAGGCATTCAATTTAGGGTTTGGAGGCTATCATCTACTGGGTTTTTTTCAAATGCATTTCAAGAACACTTGCCTTGAAATATTAAAGCACTGACCATTTTATTTTCTTCTGAAAGAATTTTATCGAGGATCTCTGGACTGTGTTAAATTGTTATAATTAAATTCTTCTAACGTATAGATTAGTAAATCCTCGTGTGGCATTATAGGATAAGCACAAGTTGTATTACACCACAAGGTTGGTGGTTCAAACTTAACAGCAGCCACTCCTTGGAAACCGTATACTGGGTTGTTATGAGTTGGAATCAACTTGACGGCACTTCACAATAACAACAACAATAAATCTGCTTTATGCCAAAAGTACTACACCAGGAGGTAATTAATAGAGTCAAATCATTTGAAAAACAAAGTATGAAAGCAAAAATGGATTAAAAGTTTGAAGTAGTCCAAATTCTTTAAATGTTACTTTTTAAATATATCAAATAAGAAATAGGAAAAAAAGCTCTCTGCTTCCTCATAGGATGTCTTATATTGTTTTTTTTTTTACAAACTATCAACTGTGAAAAACTACAGAAGTTTTCATTTTGGATATCATTGAGAACATATTCATTCTTTTGTTTATTTAAGTCTGAGCATCCTACTGTTACGGCATTATTTTTGGTGTCTGTAGAGTATATAAGAAGCTCTGGTAGTACAGTGGTTACGAGTTGGGCTGCAAACCTCAAGGTCAGCAGTTCAAAACTACCAGGGGTTCTGCTAGAGAAAGATGTAGTTTTCCACTCCATGAAGATTCATAGCCTCAGAAACCCTAGACAGGGTCTCTATGAATTGGAACCAGCTCCACAGCACATAACCACCACCACCCCCACAGAGCATACACATATTTCATTTTAACAGTCATTCATTGTTATTATTGCTGTTAAGTGCTCTTGAGTAAGTTCTGACTCATTGTTGTAAATTCTGTAGAATTGGTTCCAAGTAGTGGCTGATGAGCTTAAACCACCCACCCTTGCAATTAAAACCAACCTTACAGTTCAGCACATTAATCCACAGTGCCGCCACACCATGACTCCATAGCAACCCTGTATAGAGTTTCTGAAGGAGCCCTGGTGGTTTGGTGAATTATGAGCTGGGCTGCTAACTGAAAGGTCAGCAGTTCAAATCTACCAGTCACTCCACAGGAGAATGATGAGGTTTTCTGCTTCCACAAAGACTTACAGCCATGGAAACCCTATAGAGGATTACTATGAGTTGGAATAGACTCAATGGCACACCACCACCATCAGATTTCTGAGGTGGGTTTGAACCACCGACCTTGAGATTAGCAGTCCAGTGCTCATCTTACAGTATCATACCAGGACTCCTTTCATTATTGCTGTAAAAATAGCACAAGACTGAAAGTTAGGCATTGTTGTTG